TTTAACGACCTCGAAAGGATAGAAGCCTGAGTCAACCTTGAGCCGGCTACCTGGGATTGAACCCCAAGTCGTGAGCACAGTTTTGGCTGCAGTACAGCGGTTTAACCACTGTGCCACCAGGCACAGTTCAGAATTAAAGAACATCTTAATGAGGGTGAAAGAGGAGACTGCAAAAAACGGTCTGAAGCTCGACATAAAAAAAAAACTAGGATCATGGCTACTGGTCCCATCACCTCCTGGCAAATAGAAGGGAAAATATGGAGGCAGTGACAGATTTTACTTTCTTGGGCTGCAGATGGTGACAGCAGCCACAAAATTAAAAGACACCTGCTTCTTGGGAGGAAAGCGATGACAAACCTCAACAGCATCTTAAAAAGCAGAGACATCACCTTGCCGACAAAGGTCCACATAGTCAAAGCTATGGTTCTTCCAGTAGTGATGTATGGAAGTGAGAGCTGGACCATAAAGAAAGCTGACCACCAAAGAATTGATGCTTTTGAATTGTTGTGCTGGAGGAGACTCTTGAGAGTCCCCTGGACTGCAAAGAGAACAAGCCTATCCATTCTAAAGGAAATCAACCCTAAGTTCTCACTGGAAGGACAGATCCTGAAGCTGAGGCTCCAGTACTTTGGCCATCTCATGAGAAGAGAAGACTCCCTGGAAAAGATGCTGATGTTAGGAAAGTGTGAAGGCAAGAGGAGAAGGGGACGACAGAGGACGAGATGGTTGGACACTGTCATCGAAGTGACCAACATGAATTTGACCCAAATCCTATAGGCAGTGGAAGACAGGAGGGCCTGGCGTGCTCTGGTCCATGGGGTCACGAAGAGTCGGACGCGACTAAACAACAACTACAAGTAGCATCTAGTCATTACAGTTACACTATTCAATATTGTCACTTCCTTAACAGCATGATACAGTTATATAAGTAGTTTGATGGTAGTATGAACAATAGTACAGAAATGGTTTCCCTCCTCTCAATTTTATATCTGTTTTGCATTCTGGAAATAATTTTGAATATTTTAACCAAGATAAGAGATCAGTTAATCAGAATAAATCTGGGAAAATTGGTCAGATTGCATCAAGTTGAGAAAACTATATTAGATAGTTTAGTAGACTGCATTTCTGGAGATAGACCATGGCTTATAGCTGAGAACCTGCTTTGCACACAGGGTCAGTCCCCAGCTTTGCTGGTTAAGAGTACCTCAAGGAGCACATTATGGGGAAATCCCTCTTCCTGAGACACTGTAGAGCTGCTCCCAGCCAAAGTAAACAACAGGTGGATGAAATTGTAAAGTACTTTCCTGTGTTCCTATTTGAGTTAGCCTTCATCTTGTCTCTTCCTCCATATATACTTATCTATCCTTTTGCCCATCTTGTAAAAATATTGCCACCTAGTGAACTGGAAACTGCAAGATAAAGGGTTAAGCTACGCACAGTGTTGAACTGTGTGTAATTTTTCACCAAACTCCTTTTCCTTAAAAAAAGAGGTGCAACCAAGGAGACTTCACTCTACCAAGAAGGTTTGCAGATGAGTATTTGGGAAGTAGCTTCTTAACCTTTTCCATTCTGACAATTTTTTTTACTGTTAGAATGGAAATATATGTATGATTTCTGCAGCCCAAATCTGCTTTTTGTCCTCCCCACTCCAAACTTTTTTCTTGTTTAACCGATGCCTAACCTCAATCCAGCCTTGCTGGCTGGATAGTTCAACGTCCTAGCTATCTGGCTGCAGAGCCAGAGGTTAGGAGTTCAATTCCCTCCTGTGCATCTCAGAAGAGCCAGCCTGTTTGGTCTTGGGCAAGCTGCACAGTCCCAGATTCCCTCCTGTGCATCTCTGAAGAGCCAGTTTGGTCTTGGGCAAGCTGCACAGTCCCAGAAAAGGGAATGGTAAATCACTTCTGAGTACTCTCTATCTGAAAAACCCCACAAAAGAGTCACCGACCGTAAATCAGAATTGCCTTGATATCATCATCATCATCATCATCATCATTGAATAACAAGAATCCCCAGCTGAGTTCTCCTGTTCAACAGGAATCCTGGGGTTCAGCTTTATTTAGGCAGGCTTGTGGTGTGGCCGAGTTCAACTTCATTATGTCTCAGGGGCCACCAGCTTAGTGGCTTTCTCTGTATAATGCAAGAGACAGTGACTTTGAGAGGCAAGACTTACGTTTGACCGTGCTACGAGATTCCTGGAACCCGGCGGGCTCTGAACCCCAGCCCAAGGATTCACATTCGCGGTCTGCCCCTTGGCCATGCCTGGCACCTGTGCCCGCGCCTCCTCTTCCCTTTTCTGCCAGCCAGCACATCTTCCACAGCCCCACGCTGCGCTTGCGCCCGTCCTCCAAGGTCTGGTACACCCAGTTGGGGGTGAAGGCAGCAGCATTGTTGAGAATAAGTGAAACCAGAGCTACTAACACGGCTGTAGCTACCAGTTTCTGGACAGTCATATCTGACTGTCATACACTGCTGGCACCCACTCTTTGTAGAAGATCCAAGTGTTCCACTTAGCTGTAGCGCATTGAATTAAGATGGGTGCAGATAACGTTACAAGTGGCTAGAGAACATCACCATTCATTCTCAGAAGACAACGTCTAGGGTGTTTCTGGTCACACAAAGGACTGCTAGACAGAGAGGAGAAATCCATATAAAAAGTGTAGAAATAAGACTTCCAGGTCGCTGTCTCCCCAATCGGTGCTTTATCCTCCTTCCTGCACTTTGAGCAGAGCAAAGCTGGTGATAAGTTGAAATACAAGGAGATGCATTCTTTTCTCGGGAACCCAATTTGTAAAAGGTCGATATAGGGAACGTTTGTTCTTGGACAAGAGAAGAAAATGCCCACAAATGTTGCCAGGTGCCTTAACCTTCTGGAGCACAGCTGTGAGTGAAGACCGAGACCCACATGTAAGAGTTCGTTGGCAAGAGCTCTGAAATTTTTATTTGCCGCCGTCCAATTCAGAACATCCTACAAGCACAGCAGGATTGTACTCTCAGCGCCCAAGCAAATTCTGAACCAAGAAAAGTACATAGTTATCCCCTAGGAGCCCCCGGCGTTTTCCAAAGAAATCTGTTCTGCTGCTTCGGTTCTTCTATGAATGTTGCATGTCGGAGCTGGGAGCAACACGAGCAGGAAAGCAGAACCTCTGCTGCGAGGAAGTTTTTCCCTCCTATCTCTCAATGGAGAGAGGAAACGGCTGTTTTTGGTGAGTCTCAGGGCGTAGCCGAGTGCAACAAACGGAGCCACTGCCACAGCAGTGAAATGTGAACAGGATGTGTTTCCTGAAAGAAAAAGATTGGAAGAGAGTTCCAAAGTCCCAGTTAGTCTCTCTCTCTCTCTCTTTCTCCACTCCTCAATCCCTCCCCCCTTCCAGTATCTTTTTCTCACTCACTCATCCCTTCCCCTTCCAGTATCTTTTTCTCACTCACTCCTCTGGTTCCCAGACACCCCCCCGGCCCCCAAAATAAGGAAATCAGTGATACTGGATTATACAGATATTACATAAAATGGCCTCTTGGGTAGCTTGGTGGAGGACCGAACCCCTTCCCATCCCATAAGTTTCAGGTTCAACAGTTTGGGCTTGACCCAGTTGTCAAATCTAAGTGACAAAAGCAGTCGTTTTTAGGAGAACAATATATGCGCCAAAGTGGAAAACCAAAACTGGCTAAAACAAAAGCTCTTTGAGTCTAGTTCAATAAAAACACAAAGTGAAACACAAAGTGTTCAAAATGTGTTTTGATTATTGTGTCTCGGTGACGAAAATAATCAGAAGCATGCGTGCAAGATTTGTCTGTGGGAGTTGTACTTCCAAAGATGGTTAGTATCACATCATACTCTGGGATTCACTCCAAGGAACATTAATTCTGCTTGTGGGGAAAACTCAGTCATGATGATGAGCCTTAAGTCCAGCCAAGACGGCTTGTTCACCCATGCTGTTCATTATGTTAATATTGCACATACGCATATTTTTATTTTATTTATTAGTGACATCCCACTTTTCAAATATATTTCAGATCTGGAAAACAAAACAGTGGCCCTCAAACCAGAAATGTTCATAGCTGACTGAGCTGTAGCTGTTCATAGTTTTCTTTAGGACACAACTTGCTTATTCTCACTCTTTTTCTTTCAAACAAAACAACTCCAAAACGCAGTAAATGGCACTGGCATGAGGCTTGGCCAAGGGTGAAGACATAACAAAGAACTGATCGGTTTAACTGATTATCCTAACTACAAGATCCTAGGAGAGATTTCTCAGCACCATTAGCAAGCTACTCTTTCCAGGCACAGAAGCCATGTCAGCTTGTGACTGGACTGGGAGGAAAACTAGATTAAACTGGTTTGCTTCACAGTTTTTTAAACTGAGTGCCTGCTAGCGTTTGCTGCTGAAACTGCTATAACCATAGACAACAATAAGATAAATGACCCCACTCCACTTCCCCACCGGCTCTGTTTCCCATGGAATCACAGAGCCACCTGACTCGTACTGCTTTCTTCTCCTTCCCTCTCCTCTCCTCCTTTGTCTCTCCTATGGTATCTGGTCAGCAGCTGCAGATGGCAGCCATCAGGGATGAAAATACGTATGTTGGGAAGAATCAGTCCCTATTTATCATATGACAATGGTGACTTCTGTCTTTTTCACATAGTAGAGAGGTGTAACATTCATATCCTTGCAGTGTGGTACTGGGACATTCTTCCCCCCACCCCCAAAGTGGCATAGTACTGTGTTGATTTAACAGTTTATCATCTTTGTCAATATCATCTGGTTCCCATCCCAGCACTGAAAGTCAGGCAAGAAGGGGTGGGGGTGGAATAAGGAGAGAAACAAGAAGTCCTTAAAAGTGGCAAGAAACATTGATTAGCTTGATCAATGTCCAGCAAGGCTTTTTTTATTATCACAGGAGAAGGCAGGGGAGCGGGGGAGACAAACCCACAAGAAGTTGTTAAATGAAATTTTGACCATCAGTCCAACAAGACTTTTCCATCATGGCAAATCAGCACTAATCTGCCACAGCACTAACGATGACAAACATATTTTAAAAACAGTAAAACAAACAAACAAACCATTTGGGGGAGAGATAGCAGACACTCACTTGAAGAAGATTATCCCACTGTAATGGCACCGCATTGGAGATATCACCATGACCACAAGACGTGCCCTTGACACACACAAAGGTTACACATGCCAGAACTCTAGAAGTAGCTCCAGTGTGCCTCCCATGTTCAATTTCCAGATTTTTTTTTTTTGTGACTTCCAAGCAGAGCAAACAGAGCCAGTTCCTGCTGGGGATGATGCCTACTGACCTTATCCTGCTCCTGTTTCTATGACTGGAGGAAGGAACAGGCTAAAAGCAGTTGAGAACAGTGTTTTCCATTCTTTGCTACTCACAGCATTTGTCATATTTTTTTTTCACAACTCAGGAAACCGTGAAGTCCATTTCTGTTGCACCTTTCTTCAGTATGGCTCCCATCCTCTTGGGAACCTGGCAGGAAGGGATTTTTTCTTCTCTAGTTCCTGTCTTCTTCTGTAGGAAAACAAGAGGCGTTGGGGTCGGTTGGAGATTATGTTACTTGTACTGTTTTACTGTAGCATTCTTTGTATTTAGTTTTTCCTTTAAAATTGTGAATATCAAACAAGTGAGTCACCAAGTCTTTCTGGATTCTATATGGCATATCTGGTGTATACGTGCAGATGTGCACAAATGTCACTTAAACGAGGGCAAGCCAGTGAGTTGTTCTCATTGCATTGGGAATATGTTTATCAGCAGAAACCACTATTCCAACTTGCTGCCAATTGGTAGTACTTTCCTGAAACTGTGATTATTTCCTTTTTTCCCCAAATTGCTTTTATATTGTATGTAGATTGACAATTCATTGCAAAACATATACAACAGGACCCTCGTATCTGCAGAATCAGTATCTGCTGTATCACTTATCTGTGGTCTGAAAACGTTAAAAATATTAATAGAAAAAAACTTGTTTAGTCATTTAGTTATGTCCGCCTCTTCGTGACCCCATGGACCAGAGCACGCCAGGCCCTCCTGTCTTCCACTACCTCCCGGAGTTGGGTCAAATTCATGTTGGTCGCTTTGATGACACTGTCCAATCATCTCATCCTCTGTCGTCCCCTTCTCCTCTTGCCTTCACACTTTCCCAATGTCAGGGTCTTTTCCAGGGAGTCTTCTCTTCTCATGAGATGGCCAAAGTATTGGAGCCTCAGCTTCAGGATCTGTCCTTCCAGTGAGCACTCAGGGTTGATTTCCTTTAGAATGGATAGGTTTGTTCTCCTTGCAGTCCTTTACTCCTCTCCAACTATTGGTTCAGATCACCACCGATGCAAGCCCTACCGTATAGTTGCATTGCAACGGCCTACATATTCATGCTACCTGGTCCCACGCTGAGCAAGCTCTTCATATAAACAATCTCAAGCTCTTTGCCATTTTCAAGGCCTTCTGAACCCATCATTCTTGGCAATGCCATTCAAGTCACAACCGACCCGCCTTGTTTTACATAAATAAACAAGGAGGCACCCATTCCCTTCCACTGAATGTCTGAGGGCCCTGGGGTTCATGGTAACACTAAAGTCTGCAGCAGGACCCTTGAACAACAGCCTTTATTTACAGCAGGTCCTTCTAGTCACTCCGGTTTATCTTCCTGAACTCCTACAGTCCATTCTGTATGTTTGCTGTCATGCCCTGGTTTGTGGTTCTGTTACAGTCCAGAAGACAGTCTTGTAGTGGACACTCTCAGCAGACTATATACCCAGATGCATGAATGGACTCTAGACCAGTCTGTATTTCACCACCTTTGCAAGATCTGGGGCCAACCACGCATAGACGGAGTTGGTTGCAAGGGTGGTAAAACGGGTAAAGATGTTCAGCCTGAAGAAAACTGAGAAGTATAAGATGGCCAGCTGTAAACACTTGGAAGGAAGATGAAAGATGGAGCAAAGCTGTTTTCCAGAATCCAGAGTTTAGGACCCAAAGCAATGAATCCAAATTATAAGAAATGTTTAGATTTTCACTAAACATTAGTTAATTCTGTTTAGTAATAATGTGGGCTAAGGTCTCTTCTTTTTTCTCAGGATATTTTTAAACAGAGCTTGTATAGCCAGGTGTCAGGGATACTTGAGCTGTGGATTCCCTCCTCAGGTAGAGGGTTGGGTAGAAGGTTGAATTTGTTGAGCCTTGGTGTCCCTCTCGGCTATATACGTAATTCTATGATTTCTTATTAATATGTGGAAGGCAGACCGTCAGATGGTCTTTAAAATTTTTAATGCCAGTGTCTTTTACTAGCAATGCCAGTGTCTTTTGCTTGCACACCGACCCTGTGGAAGTCAGGGCCAAATGTATCATTATAGTGAAGTTCCCTTATAGGACTAGGAAGTAATCAGTTGCAAATTTCCCTTATTTTAAAATGCTATAATCCTGGACTTATCCTGGGTAGTCCAACATAAAAAGCCGAAAAGTTCAACTACTGTATATCCAATCACTATATAACAATAATGCATTGCTATTAAAGATACATCAGAATAGTTTTGTAATAAGTAAACGAAGCATTCATTATTAAAATAAAACGTCAAATAGCAGGCATCAAAAACATGACAAATATACAGCAACAAAACCAAAACCATTAGTTAATAATTTCATGTTCTGCTTTAAAAAGGCATCTCTTTCGGCCTTGCTTTTTCACTGAAGCAAGTGAAGGATGTGGAGCAAAATAATAGTAGAATACGTTTTAGATGAAGGCAGGGCTGGTCACCAGTTCTAAGTGTGGATTGAAAAAAGGGTAAAAACATCCTTTGGCTTAAAATGTAAGCTGAACTTTCTTCTCTTGTGATAGTGATCATTTTAAAGATAACTTAACCAACTTGTTATATTTCATAGTAGTGAATTTGTCATTTTTTTTAAAAAAAAATTAATAGCATATTCTTTCTCGGCAGCAGTTTATTCAAGCCCAAGACAACCCTCACCTCTTTCATCATCAGAAGCTTATCTCTTGCAGCCAAGCAGTCTGGGAGAACATGGCCCGCATGTGTGTGAAGACACGAAGGCTGGATGTCGCCCGAGTTTGCCTGGGGAACATGGGTCATGCTCGAGGAGCCAAGGCATTACGAGAGGCGGAGCAAGAGCCCGAGCAAGAAGCCAAGGTGGCCATGCTGGCAATCCAACTGGGTATGCTGGTAGGTCGATGCCTTTCTTCAGCCCAGCTATCTCTCACTTCCTCTTCAGTGAGTTGAACTAGCTGAGAACAAAGGACAAAAACCCATTGTGTGTGCCACCAGCCCCTCCATGGGCAAGGGAATGTCTGAGGGCCCTGGGGTTCATGGTAACACTAAAATCTGCAGCAGGACCCTTGAACAACAGTCTTTATTTACCGGTTAGCCCAGCAGGTCCTTCTAGTCACTCCCCTTTACCTTCCTGAACTCCTACAGTCCATTCAGGACGTTTGTTGTCATCCCCTGGTTTGTGGTTCTGTTACAGTCCAGAGGTTAGCACTTGAAGGATATGGCTGTCTGATATTCCTTCTACTGTGCCTTGTGCACCTCAGGGCTCTTTTCCATGCCTCCTGTCACTAGCCTTCATCATACCTCTGCGGGTTGAGCTTTGTGATACAGTGAGGAAAGCAAGTGTCCCTTGAGTGAAGTTAAGAGGGAATGCTCAGGTGCCAGGGGCTGATGGCTTAGTCTTTGTTCCGCTCCTCTGACTTTCCCTCCTCTTCTTATTTCCTTGGCTGAGATCCTCCCTCCTTTTTATAACCTACCATCTTAGCTGCTGAAGGATCTGGACCCTTCTCAGCCTCTGACTCCACCTTTTCTCTGACATTGATGGGACCGCCACTTTCACCAGGTCTGGGGCCTTGGCCCTCCAAGGGTCACACTGACTCTCTCTCTTGGGCAACAGCTGAGTTAATACTTACGTTAAGTCCCCTGGATTCCATGAGCCTGTTCCAAGAGAAACTAAATTAGATTTAGCCCAAGAATTCTCAAATTTTGATGGTTGTTGTGGGTTTTTCGGGCTATTTGGCTGTGTTCTGAAGGTTGTTCTTCCTGACATTTCACCAGTCTTTGTGGCCGGCATCTTCAGAGGACTGGAGTAGGAACTCTGTCCATGCTCTGTTGCTGTTTTTTGAATAGTTGGGTATTTATGTCTTTGAAGAAGTGGTCTGTGCAAGCACATCTGACAAAATATAAAAAAATAAAAAACCCACAAAACACATACAAGAAAATACAAGAGAGAAAAATATTGTGCCACCCTAAAAACTAACAACTATATTTTATTTTATCTTGTTTATATTACAATATAGCAGTTACTCTTGAAGATGCCACAACATTTTTGATTTGGGGTTTTTATTTCTGTCTGGTATGTCAGCCTGTGTCTGTTGCATGGAGGCTGAGTGTCATCTGAAGGTTTGTTTATTTGCTTTTGTCTCTTTGGATGAGAACAATCCCGTGCTCTGCTCCAAAGACATGGTGCTAGGTGTAGGGGTTACAGCTGAGAGGAGCTGCCCGCCTGTACGGGCCCTCAGAAGTACTGAAAACTTTTGGCTGGCAGTTTTTTGAATAGGAATGGTAAACAGGAGTGTTTTGCATGGGTATTTCATGGGGAAGTATGATAAGGAAATCAGGAGTGCTGTGTCATGCTGTAGATTGGAAAAGGACATGGACCTGCAGCACCTTGAGATGTTCATCTTCCTGCTGATAGGAGACCCCAATTGCAATAAAGTGCAAGTTGGTAACCTTGCTAGAAGAGAAGGTAGAGTACCTTGAATCCTGCCTCTCCAGGTTTCAGGTCATTAGAGGGGGGTGGAGCATTTCTAAATAGAGTTCCAGGAAGAGCAACAGAGCAAGAAGGTCTGTGGGGAGGAAAAGGAATACTAAGTGCAAGAGACAAGAAGGTGGAGGAACGTGACAAAGAGAAGCAGGAGACTATCAAGGAAGCCTTTTGCATCTTTGGAGCTACATTTGGTTCTTCATAAGGACAGCAGTTCCAGGCCCCCTTCACAAATGATGATGCTGAGCTGCTAGAATAGTGACAGCAGATAGCAGAGAGAACAGAAGTACCTGTGGAGGATACTGTAAAAGGAAGGCTTCCTGCCACCTTCTAGTTGAGGCGAAGACCTGTGATGGTAATAGGTGACTCCCTACTTAGGGGAACACAGGCAGAAGTTTGCAGACCTGACAGAATGACTCCGGAGAGATGCTGTCCCCCTCATGCAAAGATCCAGGACACAACAGAGAGCTTGTCAAAACTCATTAAACCTTCCTTATGATCGATAGGGGTGGGGGAAGACGTGGTGCTGTTAGACATGTGTATTGTAAGCAACTATGAGATGCTGGGCAGGAAGGTGAAGGATCTTGGGTACAAAATGTTTTTTTAATTGTTCCTTCCTGTCAAAGGCAGGAAGAGACACAGGAATACTACAAGTCAGTAGCTGGTGGCTCAGGTTTATTGCTGGGAAAGATTTGGCTTCTTGAACCAACTTCTGAATGTCTTTTCATGAAGACAAACTCCTGCCAAGCCAAGAGTTATACTTTGCAGGGACTGGAAAAAAATATATTTGCTAGAATTCTTGCAAACTTTTTCAGGAGAGCTTTAAAGTGAACTTTGCTATGGAAAATGGTGGCATTCCAGAGAATAGAAAGAGAAGCACTAGGGAAAAGAGTGTCAGTGATCTATCATCAGCTGGGAATTGTGGTAAAAGGAACCCAGTGATGGAGAGGAAATGTCAAGAAAGCAGCTGGAGGGAATGGCCCACAGATTCAGATATCTTTATACCAATGCATAACGCATGTAAAACAAACAACGAGAGTATGAACTTTTGACAGAGGAAGAGAATGAACTGTAGTAACTAGAATATGGTGACTATCATGTTGTGGCTGAAGAGTATGATTTAATCAAATGGAGTAGTTGAAAGAGAATGAAATACTGAAGATACAACCTTACAGATGAGCTAAGATTTAAATATGGGCATGTATAAAAAGGGACGTGGTGGCGCTGCGGGTTAAACCGCAGAAGCCTCTGTGCTGTGTAAGATCGAATCCACATGACAGAGTGAGCGCCCGTCGCTTGTCCCAGCTCCCGCCAACCTAGCGGTTCGAAAGCATGCAAATGCGAGTAGATAAATAGGGACCACCTCGGTGGGAAGGTAACAGCGTTCCATGTCTAAGTCGCACTGGCCACGTGACCACGGAAGATGGTCATCGGACAAACGCTGGTTCTACAGCTTGGAAACGGGGATGAGCACCACCCCCTAGAGTCGAACACGACTGGACAAAAATTTTCAAGGGGAACCTTTACCTTTATGTATAAAAAATGGTAGGAGGGGTAAAGCACCAAGAAAGAGTACAAATGAATAGCCACTGTTTGCAAAAAGAAGGCTAGGAAGGATTAAGCTCAACATGAGCTACGATTTCCAAGAGAGGTCAAAAGCAAAAACAAAAACAGATTTTTCAGCTGTGCTGAAATCAAGAGGAAGAACAAGAGACTGTGCGTCTGCTATATGGAGAGAACAGGAGGGTATTAATGGGTGGCAGATCAAAGGCAGAACTGTGGAACACCTGCATTGCCTTTGTTTTCTCCCAAAAGGAAGCAGTGCACAAACGAGAGCAAGTATAATAAAGGAGGAAAGGGGAGGAGCTGCTACTTAAGACAGGTGAAGAGGTTTTATGGGAACATCAAGCTATTTTAAATGAATTAAAATAGCCAGATGAACTACATCCAAGGATACTAAAGAAATTTGTAAATGTAATCTCAGAGCCATTGTCTGTAATCTTTGAGGGTTCTTGGAGAATATGTGAGATATTGGAAGACTGTAAATGCATAAATGTCATCCCCATAGTGAAAAAGAAAGAAAGAGGGTCCAGGCAACTATTGATCAGTCAGCCTGACATCAATACTAATAAAACATCTTGGAAAACCCTAGCCACTGCGGGTCCTTTTTAAGAAAAAAGGCAGGATAAAAATATTTTATTAAATAAATAAATTGTAGAGCAGATTATTAGTCAGTCTGTGGGTACTTAGAAACGATTGGATGAGGGGACTGAAGGAGCACTCATCAAATCTGCTGATAGACACAAAGCTGGGGGGAATTGCTAATACTTTGGAAGATAGACTCAACATTCAAAAGGAACTATCCAATAAGATGCAGTTCAGTGGCGGGAAAATTAAGGTCCTGCACCTAGGCAGGAGAAACTAGATGTACAGGTACAGAATAGGTGGTACCTGGCTCAACAGTAGTACCTGTGAGAGGGATTTAGGTGTCCTGGTGGACCACCAGCTAAGGATGAGTCAGCAGTGTGCTGCAGCTGCCAAGAAAGCCAACACAGTCCTAGGCTGCATTGACAGGGGGATAGCATCAAGATCACGGGAAGCGATAGTACCCCTCTATACCACGCTGGTGAGGCCACACGTGGAGTGCTGTTTCCAGTTCTGGTCACCACATTCAAAAAAGACGCTGGGGCCCTGGAAGGGGTGCAGAGAAGAGCAACAAAGATGATAAGGGGACTGGAGGCAAAATCCTATGAAGAACGACTAAAAGAACTACTGTAGGTCTATTTAGCTTAATGAAGAGAAGACGGAGGGGAGACATGACAGCAGCCTTCCGATATCTGAAGGGTTGCTACAGGGTAGAGGGCATCGGATTCCTCTCCATTGAGCCTGAGAGGAGGACAAGAACCAAGGGGAGGAAGATCCAACCTCGAAACAAGGAGGAATTTCCTGGTGGTGAGAACCATTAAGCAGTGGAACAGCTTGCCTCCCGATGTCGTGGGTGCCCCATTGCTGGAGGTTTTCAAGAAAAGATTGGACAGTCATCTGTCCGGGATGGGATGAGGTGTCCCGCCTTGGGCAGGGGGCTTGGACTAGAAGACCTCCAAGATCCCTTCCAACCCTACAACAATTCTGTGATGACAGTAGTGTGATTTCTAATCTCAAAAACAAGGCTATCATTTTGTCTCATCCCCCTTTAAGAGCAGTCTAAGCTGGTAGCCATCACCCCATCCTCTGATAATCAGTTCTATTAATGAATTAAGCAATACCTGAGGCATTTCTTTTGAAAGCTTAGTTTGAGTCCAGGGCTCAGTGAGATTTCACCACCTGAGCTGCTTTTAATACTCAGACCTGAAGGAAAAGGTTCCAGAGCCCAGAATTTTGTAATATCAAAAGCATGCCTTCAACATGTGCAAGAACATGCTAATTTGCTTATTGGAGAAGAAGCTGCATTTAGCCGTCTCAGAGGGTCTCCCTCTCTCTGCAAGCGATGTGACGCCCATGTGTTGCTTTTATTGTCATAGAGTGATTGATACACTCCTGCGCCCTTTGGGTGCCAACCTCTGAGTCTGTGTAGCTTTTGTACTCTGGTCAAAGTTCAAGGCCTGTTTTAGGCTGGCAGCATTTCCCAAGCCCTGAATTCTTTCAACAAGGACATGGTTTCAAAGATAGCTGAAGGCTTTTTAGCTGGTTGGACTAAAGGCTATTTCCTAGAGCTATAGGGCTCCCATGTGTATGCCACCTCCTTCATGACATGACCCGTGAGGTCAGATTAGTGCTTTCCTCATTTTTATCTAAACATCCGGCCTCAGTCATAATGCTTCTATTCTGGTCTGGGTAGACTCAGTTGGTCCTTCACATTCCTGCTCAGATTAACCCTTGCTGCCGAGCAATCTCAGGCACAGGCACTGATCTTGAAAACCCACATTATTCTTCCTTTTGAGCCTTTCACATATTGGCCGCAGTACAGGCATTCCCAACATGTTAACACAACATGTGTGTGGTGATGGTAATGGGGAGATCTTGCCTTAACCCATCCTTATGTATCAAGGTCCAGTCTAGATAGTGACAAGTTTCTTTTGACCTGTAAGTCTACGACTAGAAGTGGAACCGGAAGAAAGAAGATTGGTCATCATTTTGTCTTGGTCAAAAAATTTTCTCTGGCCACAAGTATGAGAAATACAAGGCACCTTCACTCAGCCCCACTGTAGTTCTCCTTGCTGGAAATGTGACCAGTTGCTTTTCATCATCTGCAATGGGCAATGCATTTCCTAAAATACAAATTATTTAAAATAATGCTTTATTCCCCTTCAAACTTTACTTTTTGGACCACTATGTCCATAGCTGGGAATCTGCAGGAGCTGTAATACAAAAAAAATTAATTTTTCTAACAGAGACATGGCTTTGGACCTGCTTGCCTTCCTTCTCCTCCTCCTTATCTGGAGCTGGCAGTGGTACTTTAAATATGGTGTTTTGAATCACTTTCCTGATGATTTTTCTGATCTTTCTGACTTCTTATTTCGTACATTTGTCTTTTTAAGTTCTTCTTTTCTATTAAAGAAAAAGTTCTTTAATTTTAAAAGTTCTGCAGATTTAAATAGCTACATGATTTCCAGAATGCCATTTACACCCAGCTGCCTCGTCCCTGTTCTAGGAAGATGCAGAAGAGCTGTACAAGGAATGCAGGCGCTATGACCTCCTGAACAAGTTCTACCAGGCCTCAGATCAGTGGCAGAAAGCCATAGACGTCGCAGAAGCTTATGACCGAGTCCACTTGCGCACCACGTACTACAATTATGCCAAGCACTTGGAGGCCACAGGAGATCGCAACCTTGCACTCACCTAGTAAGTGTTAACAGAAACCCCCACCTAGTTCTACAGATGGCTGTGGCAAACCTGATTCTATTGCATTCTCCTTTTTTTTTGAATCGGTGCTTATATTTCAGGTCAGTGTCCTGTGTTTGGGGGAAATTATCCACCCTTACATCTGGTAGCTGGGCATGCTAGGTTGGCGAGGAGCTGGGACAAAGTGACGGGAGCTCACTCCGTCGCGTGGATTCGACCTTACGACTGCTGGTCTTCTGGTTGTCCAACTTTCTCTTGAATGCCTCCAGTGTTGGAGCATTCACCACCTGCCAAGATAATTAGTTCCATTGTCGTACTGCTCTAACAGTTAAGAAGTTTTTCCTGATATTCAGGCTTCATGTTACTTGAGCCCATTATTACATGTCCTGCACTCTGGGATTATCGAGAACATGCCCCTCCTCAACACTGTTGAAGCAAACCTGAAGATGTTAATTTGTGACATAGCTTTTCCCCCTTTTTTTGTTACTCAGTTTGACAGCAAAAACTAAGTACGGTTCTCATGTACTAATGTGCTGTGATAGTCAGCCTTCTCTAACCTATTGCCTTCCCGAGTTGCTGGGGCATATCTTGCATCATTCCCAGATAGGTATAGTCAACTGCACTTGCTGGTTGTTGTTTTTTAATTTTTAATTTATTTCAGCCATTTCATTGTGAGTTGTTGACATGGTCAATGTTTTCTTTATCCTAGAGAGTTTTCATGGAATTTCAGGATAATTGGTATATAAATGTGAAATAAGGGATGTGGTGGGGCTGCAGGCTAAACCGCAGAAGCCTGTGCTGCAGGGTCAGAAGACCAGCAGTTGTAAGATCGAATCCACGTGACGGAGTGAGCGCCCGTTGCTTGTCCCAGCTCCCGCCAACCTAGCGGTTCGAAAGCATGTAAATGCGAGTAGATAAATAGGGACCATCTCGGTGGGAAGGTAAACAGCGTTCCGTGTCTAAGTCGCACTGGCCATGTGACCACGGAAGATTGTCTTCGGACAAAACGCTGGCTCTATGGCTTGGAAACGGGGATGAGCACCGCCCCCTAGAGTCGAACACGACTGGACAAAAATTGTCAAGGGGAACCTTTACCTTTACTTAAATGTGAAATATAAGTATTATTGTTCTTATTTCTGGGTGTGGGAACATTAAATAAAACACAGTGTTTTCATCTGGCCCCTCTTTCTAATCCATTCTTTCCCTGTGCAGCTATGAGAAGTCAGACACTCACAAATTTGAGGTGCCTCGGATGCTTTCAGAAGATTTACATACCTTGGAGTCCTACATAAACAAGATGAAAGATAGGTGAGTGTTTGCTTCCCCCATGACCATCTCAGGAAAAACGTGACACCCACTGCCAGTTGCCATGTGATGATCATAGTGACTTCAAAGCCATTTTGGCCTCACTTGAGAGCCAAACAACCAATATCTGAGGGCTTCTCCTCCTCAGTAAGGCAAGGGCCTAGCTGCCTCTTGAAAATTCAGCGCGTTGTTCTTGCTTCATCCAACACTGCGGACTTCCTCTGTTTTCTTTCACTCGCTATTTGTCATGCGCTCCCGAGGGCAGAATCAGTGTCTTTTATATTTGCTTACGTACAATGACTGTTGGCCCCTTTGAGAGATGAATTTTGTCCAAAAAGAGGATGGTTTAAGAAGTGAATTGCAGAAGATACTGGGCTCTATGGACATCAAAGTTCCCAAGTAGTCCTGGAGATAAATCACAGCACCACAGGGAATATCAGAGATCTGCTGGTTTGAAGATTCAGGGCATAAATCACTCATATTTGGTCCTTTTGCTAGTTCTGCCTTTGCTTAAGTGTCCTCACATCTCATTTTCAGGCCCTGCCATCTTTACCCAGTCTTATTTATTACTGATTTCTTGCATTTATATCCCACACTCTTGGCCACTGCCATTAGCTGTATCAAAGACCACATCTGCCCTACAAACCTGAGCCTGGGGAGTATGTATCTCCAAAAGCGGTACTTCTTGTCCAAGATAAGAAACATTCCCAAATAACACTTTTTCCATCTTGTCTGAATTAGGTTTCAGCTTATTTTCACTGATTTGAACCATTGTTGACCTCAGACTCTGGCTTGGGGTCTCTTGTCTGCTCCCCTTGCCCAGTTTGTTGGGAAGCAGAGGGAGAGAGAGCCGGCTGCCATCTGGATATTAATGTGGTTACCCAAATCTCCATTTTGGACTTTCTAGGGCAGTGCTTTCTTCTACTTTATGCCATCTTGCTCTTGCAAAATAAACTGAATGGAACAGTTTATGGAAATATCATTAATTCTCTAGGGACTTGTGGAAGTGGTGGGCTCAGTACCTGGAAGGTCAAGCAGATATGGAAGCGGCTTTCAAATATTATGAGCTGGCTCAGGATTACTTTTCCATGGTCCGTATTCACTGTTTCTTGGGTAATATCCAGAAGGTAAATTTCCTTTATCTTAATTTTCTTTGGAGACAGAGAGAGTCATTTTATGGTTTAGGGCAAACAGTTTATAGTTGTTTGATTCTCTATTATTTCTTTATAGGCAGCTGAAATAGCAAATACAACAGGTAACTGGGCAGCTTCGTATCACGTTGCTCGTCAGTACGAAAGTCGTGATGACATCAAGCAGGCTGTGCACTTCTACACCAGAGCCCGGGCTTTTAACAATGCTATTCGACTGTGCAAGGTACAGACAATCTACTAGGACAGTGGTTTCCAGATGTTCTTGGACTACAACCCCATAAATCCTGGCCAGCAGAGCTTCTGGGAGTTTAACTCAATAAAAACCCGGTGAATCCATCATGACCATTCTTGCGTATTTGGTGGTTCTGCTCACCACATTCAAGAGTATTCTAGGGCTACCAAGAGTGATAAGGCCCACCTTTGAGAAAAACAGTGCACATAACAGTTGTGCAGTTTTTCTTCAAAGGGTTGTTCTTCACATGATCAATTAGTTACCTGACTGGTCACATTTCATAACCAGTTGTGAATGACAGCCTTATGGAGGGGGAAACAACGGCTGTCCGTAAGCAGTCACAGAAGTGCCTAGGATTCCGGCCAATTGATTGATTGATTGATGATGATGATGATTGGCTGTCCGTAAGCAGTCACATAAGTGCCTAAGATTCCGGCCAGTTGATTGATTGATGATGATGATGATATTATTGTTCTTCAGGAATTCATTCATAGCTAAAACCTGACATTTCTTTAATCATTTGTGTAACCTTTGGGCTGCATTGGAAAATGGTTCAATTCTAAGACTTAACCTTATTCTTTTAATTTTTTAATTTTAAAATTATTTTATTTATATACCACCCAATAGAGTGATACACACTCTCTGGGAAGTTAACAGCCAACACATGTAGACAACTAATAATAGAATAACAATTGTAAACATTGACAAAAAACACACTCTTTGGAATGTAGAATGCATACACATTAAATAACAGCCAACCCATATAGACAACTAATAATAGAATAACAATTGTAAACATTGACAAAAAACACACTCTTTGGAATGTAGAATGCATACACATTAAAATAGTAAACACTCCCGTATTAAAAGAAATTGCAGACTACTAGGGTTTGTAAGCGATTCCTATGTTTCTTGGTTTTAATCTCTTATTGTCAGGAATGTACGGGCATTTATACACCAGGGCCCTGTGAAAGGAGGCTGTGGAAAATCAGTATGACTAACATTTACTTAAAAGGGTTTCTTGGTATTTTGAAAAGGAGAACAACCTGGATGACCAGCTGATGAACCTGGCTCTGCTCAGTTCTCCAGAAGACATGATTGAAGCAGCACGTTATTATGAAGGGAAGGGTGAACAAATGGACCGAGCAGTGATGCTTTACCATAAGGTAAGCCAACGTGTTGTTGGTGCGCACAAGATTCAGTCCCTAGGTAAGGCTGGAAAGGTGTGTGCCCAAAGCCCCGGACAGTAGTGTTCTAGATCAGTGGTCCCCAACCTTGGACCTTCAGATGTTCTTGGACTTCAACTCCCAGAAATCCTGGGCAGCAGAGGTGGTGGTGAAGGCTTCTGGGAGTCGTAGTCCATGAACATCTGGAGGCCCAAGGCTGGGGACCACTGTTCTAGATGGAACAGTAGTCTGACTTGATATAAGTGCCGTTTTCTATGTTTCCATGTGTTCCAGTGGAACAGAGATTTAAACAGGGAGAAATCCCTACATCAGAGATGAATCAAACTAAAAGAAAACTTTCTTGGGAAGAAAAGGGATCTACATTCTGCCGCACGGTGGGAGACATTATTCTTTCCTAGCTGCCAATTGGCTGGCTTCTGATCCATGGCATGAGAAGTGACTGTTTTGGATGACAGTCCTCAGCGTCTTCTAGCCAAGATGGTCAGTGACCATGCCAGCTAGGGGGGTTCTGAAAGTTGTACCTCAGCTTATATGTCAGCTTCCAAGCTCCAAACTCCATAGCCAAGTGGAAGCTATAGCCGCTTTTTCCTCTCTTATAGGCAGGACACTTATCAAAAGCTCTGGAGCTAGCCTTTGCCACAGAGCAGTTTGCAGCCCTACAGCTCATTGCCGAGGATTTGGACGAGAAGTCTGACCCAGCCCTGCTTGCTCGTTGCTCTGATTTCTTCATTGAACATGCTCAGTATGAGAAGGCTGTGGAACTCCTGCTAGCTGCCAAAAAGGTAAATTACATTTTTTCAGCCAATGACACCTATCTCTCTTTCTCCTTGCCTCCTCACAGGTTATTTTTCTAAGCTACGAGGGTTTTTTTACTGATTATTTTCAGAATCTCTTTATGGAATGAAGGTTTGCTTTTGCTTTTTTGAACAAATCTTTATTCAGAATGATTAAAATATTGGGGGGATATTATAGTGGGTAATATTGTACATTTCCTCTATATGGTTCTGTGGCGTCGTCTAAAAGAATAGACTTTGTCTTGCTCATTGCCCCGGACAAAGGCAATAAGTGGAATACCACAGCATCCTGACCCGGGTCAAGAGTCATTGAAATCCTAATTGATGACTTAGAGGAAGGTATAAAAGATCTGCTCATCAAATCTACAGATGACACCAACTCAAGAGTGATAGCTAATATGTCAGAAGACAGACTCAGCATTCAAAATGACCTTCAGATATTGGGAAATGGGTTAGAAAAATGAAATGAGTTTCAAAAAAGGAAAAATATAAAATTCTACATTTAGGCAGAAAATAAAGCATGTCCATAAATATAGGATGGGTGATAGTCAACGGGAAAAGGATATAGCAATCTTAGGTAAAGGTAAAGGTTCCCCTGGATGTTTAAGGAAAAGGATATAGCAATCTTAGGTAAACGTTCCCCTGCATGTTTAGTCCAGTCGTGTCTGACTCTAGGTGTTTAGTCCAGTCACGTCCAACTCTAGGGCACAGTGCTCATCCCCGTCTCCAAGTCATAGAGCCAGCATTTTGTCTGTAGACAGTTTCCGTGGTCACGTGGCCAACGTGACTAGACATGGAACGCTGTTACCTTCCCACCGAGGGGGTACCTATTTATCTACTCGCATTTACATGCTTTCGAACTGCTAGGTTGGCAGGAGCTGGGACAAGCAACGAGGGCTCCCTCCGTCCCGTAAATTTGATCTTACGATGGCTGGTCTTCTGAACTTGCAGCACAGATCCTTCTGTGATTTAACCCACAGTGCCATCACATCCCATTTTTAGCGATCTTAGTAGACCTACAGTGCCATCCCATTTTTAGCGATCTTAGTAGACCTAAAAGTATTGTGTCCAGCTTAAGAGAATAAACACTTCTCTGTTCTACTTTGGTCAGATGTCAGCTGGAGTACAATGTCCGTTTTTGGATGTCATCATTTAAGGATATTAATAAGCTAGATTGGGTTCAGAGGAAGACAAATTTCTGGATGCCATAGTAAGGATATTGATAAGCTAGATTGGGTTCAGAGGAAGACAAGCAAAATGGTAAATGGTCTGTTAATCCAGCCCTATGGGAAACAGTTGCGGGAGTTGAGAATGTTTAGCCTCGAGAAGTAAAGGGAAGACGGAGAGGTGATAGGGCAGCCACCTTCAAATATGTCAAGGCCATCATATGGAGGATGGAACAGGCTTATATTGTGTGTCTCTAGTGTAGGGCCTGAACTACTAGATTCAAGTTACAAAAAAGGACATTAGCTAGCAAGAACATACTGACCGTAAAAGCTGTTTGGGAATGAAATCTTAAGGTGACCATTCTGTGACCTTGGATGTTTGGATTCTCCACATTGTCAAAAAGAAAGAATTTGACCATCCTTGTGGGGACAGACTAGGATCTTCACCGATGTCTACAGTACATTATAGTTTTTCTGCTTCATTTTTCTTCTTGTACTAACTTCATTCAGCTCACAAGAACCCTCTGTGCACTTGTACTCTCACTTTCTCTTTTTCTCTCCCACAGTATCAGGACGCCCTCCAACTTTGCCTGGCGCAGAATCTGACTATCACGGAAGAGATGGCTGAGAAGATGACCATTTCAAAAGACTCCAAGGAGCTCTCTGAGGACGCAAGACGGGAGCTCCTAGAGCAGATTGCTGACTGCTGTATGAGGCAGGGCAATTATCACATGGCCACCAAGAAATACACCCAAGCGGGAAACAAGCTGAAAGTAAGTGTACCTGAGCAGGAAAGAGTACTTCAGCTCAGCAGCTTGGAAGGATGAGATATTTATAGAGCAGTTGACTGCCAAGCTTCACGGAGACATGATGTGAAAGCAAAGGGTGTATTTGGAAGTTTCCAGAGCAGTGGGGGGAATGAGAATAGGAAGTATCCTGATGAATCAGCTGAAGTCCTTCTAATCCAACCCGAGCTTGGGAAGCTGATCAGCCTCGGTTTGGAAGCTCCCAGGCCACTGTGGCCATTCGTTTTTAATTCAAGGCCCTCTTCCCCACGGTAGCATCTCAGAAATTCAGTGGTCAAGCTGGCTGGGGAATTCTGCAAAGCATAGTCCCAAAACATAACTTTTCCAAGATGGATTTGAAACTTGCATCATTCCCTCATTCCGACCAGTGTGTGGATTTCTCTTGCTGTGTTTACCTGCAGTGTGACCGGCTGCCTTAACTTTCCTCCTTTGTTTCTAGGCAATGAGGGCACTGTTGAAATCTGGCGACACAGAAAAGATTGTATTCTTTGCTGGCGTCTCAAAGCAGAGGGAGATTTACATCATGGCGGCCAACTATCTCCAGTCCTTGGACTGGCGAAAGGATCCAGAAATTATGAAGAACATTATCAGCTTCTATACCAAAGGACGGGCTCTGGACCTTTTGGCGGGTTTCTATGATGCTTGTGCTCAGGTGCGTGGGCGCTCCTGAAGTGCATAGTCTGGTTTTCTGTGACAGACAGCGGCTCCACACGTTTCTCTTCTCTCTAGGTGGAGGTAGACGAGTACCAGAACTACGAGAAAGCCCTAGGGGCCCTGACAGAGGCGTACAAGTGCTTGTCAAAGGCGAAGACGAGAAGTCCGGTTGAGCAAGAGAGCAAACTTGCCCTTTTACAAAGCAAGATGGCCCTCGTGAAGAGATTCATTCAGGCCCGGAGGTGAGAGGAAGTCACAACAGGCCTTCTCCCCCAGAATTCTTTGGCCAACGGCTGTGGGGGAAGGAATTCTGAGAATTGTCTTCCAAGTTGTGGCTAGGAGAATCCAATGTCCTTTGACATGGTCTGCATGTATTCATCCCATTGCTTGTGCACAGCCACCCCTTGGTATCTTCCGGATTAAAAGAAAATTTTAGTGGTAGTCCTGCCCTGCTCCTTCTGTCTGTTGTGCACAAACCAGCATATTTTCCCTTTGTTCTGTTTCATCCACAACTTGCAGAACAACAGTGTGAAGAATGATAATCACAAAGGAAACAATATTATAATGAAAGTTTAACAATAACTTGAACTGCAGTAATTTCTGTTCTTTAAATCTCTCTCTTGAACAAGAAATTACTGCAGTTCAAGTTATTTTTCCCCTTTATTGTTAAACTCCTTCCATTATAATATTGTTTCCTTTGTGATTATCATTCTTCACACTGTTGGACCTTTTTGTTTTGTCATTTTTCTCCTCAGGGCCTCTGGCCTTAGGAGCCATTTTTTTTCAAGCTTATAGCATAAGAGGAAGATCCCTCTTACAGAGCTCCATAACAAGTTATTTTCTTTGTTTGTGGGAGGCCCAGACAACTTCGGGTGGCAAATTTGTTTAGGGTTCTCCAGTCAGACCTGGAAAAACCATAGTGGCAGACTAAAATAGTTTCTTTTTCAGAAGATGCTTCCACGGCACCGATGGGACTTTTTTTTTGGCAAGATACTTCAAGTCCTGGGGTTCTTGAAGCTCTCATGTCGCAAAAGCCATCATATTATCACAATCAAACTCAGCAGATCTCAGGTTCACTGTGAATGCCATTACTGTCATAATAAAATCAGCCATCAAAAGTGTCCTTGGAAACCAACTGCAGCAGTACTGAATGGGTACAAGTTAGAGAGGACTGTGTCATTGGAACAACCTAAAAAAAGAGAAGTCATAGGTGATCCTGTAACCCTCACTGATATTGGGAAGTGCAGGTGATTTCTGTTGAACCACCGTCATAAATCTTGCAGGCTTTCAATTTCATCTTCTTCAGCATTTGTCGTTGGCACATAGACCCGAATTATGATTATGTTAATAGGTTTTCTCTCTAGTCTGATGGACATTTTTCAGTCCGATGTTTCTTTATTAGCCTGTGCAACATCTTGCCTCAGTATGAGAGCCTCTCCATTTCTCCTAAGTAAAATGCTTTGTAGTTTTCTGACTGATAATGTCCTGTTCCAGCCCATTGACACCAAGCACTGCAATGTTTAAATATTCTGTTCCTTGCTTTTTAGTTTTCAGTTTACCATGATTCATATTTTGCATGTTCCGATTGTGTGTTCTGCTGCATCAGACTTTCCTCTCACCTCTGTGCATGTCAGCCACTAGACGTTCTTTCAGATTTAAACCTAGTTGCTTCTCTAGCAACAGTGCTATTTGTTCTTGTCATTTGCTCTTCCACAGTACCTAATTGTGTGCTTTCTGACCTGGGAGGCGTATCTTTCAGCTTTATCTTTTGTTTCCTTTTGGACTGTCTCAACATAGGGTTTTCAAGGTAAGAAAGGTTCATTGCCTTCTTCTGCACAGTATTAACAAAAGTTGGCTTGAGTACCACTGACATTGTCTGTGAAAGATCCACCACTAAGCATCACCTTCATTTACCACTGTGCCCAGCAGCTGCCCTACAGACGTTTCTACACCCCGTCACCTTCCCTATCCATCTCTTCTGCTGATGTGGCCTTTACCCTCAAAGAGAATGCGTGCGTCCTCGTCTGGTGACTCAGCTGTGAACATTATGCTTTGGGTGAGCCTGCTAGAAGTCCAGGTTCGTGGAGTCTAGCTCCCTAATTGCATTGCTCCTGGCTTCTCTGACAAACTCAAAGCCCCTTACCATTTTAATGTGTGCATCCAAGAAAGGGCACTGTGAGAACTGGCTGTTACATTGTCAATTCTGAGGAGGATACGGTGGCAGCTGAGTAGCAGAAAGACTCCGTCTCTATTCAGCATTAGTTAGGTCTTCTCTTGAGTACTCTGTCCAATTCTGGACAGTGCACTTTAAGAAAGATGCCAACAAACTGCAGCAAATTCAGAGGAAAGCAACAAGGATGATCAGAGGAGCAGAAAGCAAGCCCTGTGAGGAAAGACCTGGGCATCTTCAGCCTTGAGAAAGAAGGCTCAGGGGAGATATGATAGCACTTTTCAAATACTTGAAAAGTAGTCATAGAGAGGAGGTAGTCATACTCGATCATCCCAGAGTGCAGGACATGTAACAATGGGCTCAAGCTTTAGCATGCCGGATTTAGGCTGAATATCAGGCAAAACCTCTTACCCATTAGAGCAGTGTGACAATGGAGCCAAGGATCTTGAGAGGTGGTGAGCGCTCCATCACTGGAGGCATTCAAGAGAAAGTTGGAGAACCATCTATCTGGTCGTCTTTGATTTGGATTCCTGCTTTTTTGGGGGGGGGGTTGGACTCAATGACCTTATAGGCTCCTTCTAGTTCTACGATTCTGTGGATCACAATAATGATCACACTAGCTTACTGACTAAGAGAACTCTTTACAAGCCATTCTATCAGGTCTCTAGCCACTTCTCCTTACCTAATTTGTGCCAAGCTGTGATTTCATCTCAGCCGTCCACCTTCATCTGACCCTACCATTTGGATACCAGGTCTCAGAGCAACACTTGGTTCAGAAAGGGCTTCTGTCTCTCTCCTCTGTAGTCAGTCCTGTCAATCTCTGTGCAGAGAGGAGAGGTTGTTAGCTTTCACCTATTAATGTGAATACGTGGAGACCATGGCAAAAGAAAACAGGTGGATCACCTTTAACATTTGGTCTTTGATTTAATAACCTCCTGGCAGCAGGCTGCCTCTGTGTTGTCTGGATTTTTGAAATGAGGAAGAACACCTGCACTGTAGGCAGGACGATAAGGCTTACTACCAAAATTCACTACAGTGGTGCCTCGCATAGCGAACGCTTTGCTATGCGATGAATCCGCACAACGATGGGTCCCAGGCCATCGCTGGAGCATTCGCTCAGCGATGGCCCCTATGGGCTTTTTTCGCTATGCGATGATCGCGCGGACGCGATCAAAGCATAGCGAACAGCTGCTACTACCAAAATTCACTATCTGGAAAGCTCCAGAGGTTGGCTTTATGCAGGCACAGACTTAGATTAGAGTGAATGCATGCATGGATCTCTACTCAAAGAAGAAAGGTTTCAGGCGAGCAGCCTGATTTTCAGCTTTGCAGGGCATTCTCAATTAAGAATTGTTGACTTACAGATCATGTTGCACTGGCCGTTTATCTTTGTGGCTAAGCCATCCACCCAACAGGTGCTTTGAACACACCTGTATTGGGCTGAAATGGGACAGTTTTAAGTCCATAGGAACGTATTAAATCAGTTTTAATATGTTCCTATGGACTTTTTTGTTTCACTTAACGATGGATTCGCTGAGCGAGGGTACCACTGTATATGGAAAGCTCCAGAGGTTGGCTTTCTGCAGGCACAGACTTAGATTAGGGTGAATGCATGCATGGATTTCTACTCAAAGAAGAAAGGTTTCAGGCGAGCAGCCTGATTTTCAGCTTTGCAGGGCATTCTCAATTAACAATTGTTGACTTACAGATCATCTTGCACTGGCTGTTTGTGGCTAAGCCACCCAACCACTGTATATGGAAAGCTCCAGAGGTTGGCTTTCTGCAGGCACAGACTTAGATTAGGGTGAATGCATGCATGGATTTCTACTCAAAGAAGAAAGGTTTCAGGCGAGCAGCCTGATTTTCAGCTTTGCAGGGCATTCTCAATTAACAATTGTTGACTTACAGATCATCTTGCACTGGCTGTTTGTGGCTAAGCCACCCAACCAACAGGTGCTTCGAACACACCTGTATTGGGCTGAAATGGGACTTTTGCCCGTTACGAGACCTGTGAAATCACAACGTGAGCTTTGTTTCATAGCTGTTTGTGTCGAACGATGTGTCCTCTTCCTAGGCTTTACTCCGAAGACCCGAAGGAGGCAGCCAGACAGTGTGAGTTACTCCTAGGGGAGGCGGAGATCGACAGTGCCATTCGCCTGGGAGACGTCCTTGGCTTCCTGGTGGAGCATCACTTGCGGATGCAAGAATTCCAGATGGTGAGTAGCTCCTGTCTCATTGTGGCAGAGCAAGGGGTGGATGAGCTTGGAGGGGGGGAGCAGAGTCTTGCCCCTGGGGCCCAGAAATTGGTGGAAATGGCCTTTTAAAAATGAAAAAGCAAAAGCAAGTTAAGAAGTGCCTGGAAAGGTGTGACCAGTTTCAGTTTTGGGGCTTGGGGGTGGGAAGTCCTAGGGGATTACTCCAGACTCCTAACCCACAACTGGCTGCTCTTGGAGGAAAATATTTTAACGACTTTTTAAAAATAATAATAATTGGTGGGTACTTAGGGTTGAAATTGAGAGCTGCAAAACCCCTGTGGGGGGGCACATGTGACCCATCTCTGTGATAAAGAGACTAGCCAGCTTGCTAAGAAAAAAATCTTGAAAGCACTCAAAACGTTCAACCACACGCCTAGATATGCCTTGCAAGACTTACGTTGGTACAGATGCCAGTGTGTGAGCAAGGGGTGCATCATTCCACGCTTCCCCCATGGAAAAATCTTATTCACAGAAAGCTAGCAAGTGTATTAGGGAGATGGGCTGCCCTTAATGTACTCGTTTCTATGGCTGAGACTGGCAAGTAATCAGACGTGTGATTTCTGACCTGTTCTCTGAAGAGACTTCTGCTGAATCTGTTGGGCAGTTTTTAGGAGCAGCGTCTCAAGTTGGCTTTAAATGCATTTATATAGTTCAGAGATGGGCAAAGTGCAGCAGGCACCCTAAGCTTGACAGGTCCATTTGTGTCTGCTAGGGGGGCACAAATCACCCTCTGAAGCGTGGCTTTGCCACATTTTGCTTGCTCCCCAATTATCCTTCCCCCACACCCATTTTCCTCATTTATTGATCTAAAGCCTTTTCTACTAGGATCTGTTCTCAAATCATTCTAAAGTGCAGGACATATAATTGTCACACTTCAGAGTGGCAGTAATAAGGATGCCGACAAAGTGGAAGAGGACAACAAGGATGATCAAGGGACTAGAAACCAAGCCTCATGAAGAGAGACCTAAAGAACTCGATCTACTTAGCCTTGAGGAAGGAATACTGAAGGAAGATATGGAGTAGGATCTGTTCCCAAATCATTCTAAAGTGCAGGACATATAATAATGGGCTCAAGTTACAGGAAGTCCGTAGAAACTGTCATCCAAAGTTCAAACTGAAGAGGGTCTGTTTTAAAAGACCGTGCCTAACGGTGGATCTTGGCACCAGATTATGAGAATTATTAAGGACAATCCCCTCCTTGGATTGCTGATGTCTCCGAATCATCAATCCACGGACTAAATCAACTTTTTTTTTAGTCATTTTCAATAGCATTATAGAGGATGAAAGCTTAGAAGTCAATATTTAACTGTCTGAATTCCCTTCTTTGAGTCATTTTCAATAGCATTATAGAGGATGAAAGCTTAGAAGTCAATATTTAACTGTCTGAATTCCCAGTCTCTTGCTTCCAATTCTTTCATGTTGAAGCAGGAATGACAGTCTTACCACTTTGGGCAGGCTGAATATTGCTCAAAGAACAAATACAAAATAGCATCTCACGACACCTGCTTTTGTACAATGCGCAAAAAACCCTTAATCAAATGCTATGTGTGTGCTTTGTGGGGGAGAATCTAAAGCATCAGTTTAGATATAAACCCCTTTATCTAACACCTGTCATTTTTTTGCCCTAAAGAAGGTCACTTCCATGTAGATTCTCTCCCTGCAAGTAACAGGTAATCTCACAGTACCTGCTGTTGAATTTCTTCTTACTAAAAAAGTAACGTGGAGACTGATTAGATGGACTTTTAAGCCTGCTGTTTGGTCTGCTAAAGGAACAGGCCGGTCCGCTCCTAAAGATGGTGATCAGACAACCCCTTTTTGGAATGGAACAGCCTCCTCCCCCCCCCCCCCGCATGGAGGCCGATTAGATGGACTTTTAAGCCTGCTATTTGGTCTGCTAAAGGAACAGGCCAGTCCGCTCCTAAAGATGGTGATCGACAACCCCTTTTTGGAATGGAACAGCCTCCTCCCCCCCCCCCCCCGGCCACCTGAACGGTCCTAATTATACCTTTCTGCGCCCTTCTTGGAATATTCTACTTTTTGTAAGGGTAGGATCCCTTTGGTTTGGATCAGTTCCAGCACACGATTGCTGGAACTGATCCAAAGCATGCCTTAAAATTTGAATCTGCCACGTCAGAGTATTGGCAAATTAATCACTTCCTCTGCTACTTAGAGAGGCAGGGAAAGTGACTTTTTACAAGTATATGTAGTGGATTATCACTGATGTGCTGCATCACTTGTAAAAAAAAAAAACACATTTCTTTGCCTCCTCTTAAAGGGCTGGTCAATAAATTATTTACAGTTATACCCACGGCAGTGCCTTCAGTTGCAGGCCTCGTGGCGCAGTGGTTAAATCGCTATGCCTTAAAATTTGAATCTGCTACCTCAGAATATTGGCAAATTAATCACTTCCTCTGCTACTTAGCAGAGGGGCAGGGAAAGTGACTTTTTACAAGTACATGTAGTGGATTATCACTGATGTGCTGCATCACTTGTAAAAAAAAAACATTTCTTTGCCTCCTCTTAAAGGGCTGGTCAAGAAATTATTTGCAGTCAAACCCACGGCAGTGCCTTCAGTTGCAGGCCTGTCCTTTAAGAGAAGGCAAAAAAAGAGATTTTAAAAAAATGAATAACGTGATATACACATCAGTGAAATAACCATGAATCCCAGGTAGTTGGCTCAAGGTTGACTCAGCCTTCTATCCTTCCGAGGTCGGTAAAATGAGTACCCAGCATGTTTGGGGGGGTGGGGCAATGTGTAGCCTGCATAATTAAATTGTAAACCGCCCAGAGAGTGCTTGAAGCACTATGGGGCGGTATATAAGCAGCACGCTTTGCTTTTTTGCTTTTGCTTTGCCTGTTCTTTAAGAGAAGGCAAAAAAAGAGATTTTAAAAAAATGAATAACGTGATATACACATCAGTGAAATAACCACAGCACGCTTTGCTTTTTTGCTTTTGCTTTGCCTGTTCTTTAAGAGAAGGCAAAAAAAGAGATTTCAAAAAATGAACGTGATATACACATCAGTGAAATAACCACATTACTATACTATACAAAGAGACTATCTCATATAGCCTTTGACTCTGAGAATGCCTGGCCCCTGGCTCGGAATTCGTACAGTGGAAGTCCAAAATGTCCAGGGAACCAAAAGTCAAGAACCAGTGTTGGAGAGGAACTCTTGAATATAACCACCTTTCTCTCCCTAGGCATATCGGTACCTGGAAGAGCTACGGAAAAAAATTCCCTGTGTGAATCTCAATTACTACGTGACCCAACAGACCATTGAGGCTGTTCACAGAGGACTGGGCATTCCCCTGAGCCGAAAGCCGGCCCCAGAGAGAGTTCGTCACAACAGCCTGGGGGACAAGGATTTGGAAGAGGAAGTGGCTGACGAAGCCGAGGCTTCCTAAAGAGCGCCCCATCTTTTCCTGCCTTGTTAAAAGAAAGCTGGGAAACTGAGTAGCTTCATTTTAACAAGGACAGGCAAGCCACGGCAGAGCCACCTTTGAAGCTATACAATGTCCTTGGCTTTTTCTGAAGCATTGGCCGTAGTTTAAACGCCTGGGCCAAACTGTAGAAGTTCTGTGCATTTCACAGCCAGTTAATGTAGTTACGGTTAATATTCATAAAAATAATTTCATGTGCAGATATATTTTAATACAGTTTATTACATTTTTTTGAAACACAAAGGTATGGAGTTTATTTTTACACATCTGAACAGTTTTGAGTTTAGGGGGGGAGAAGTCAGGCAAATACATTGTTCTTCGTATTTGCAAAGGCTTTCACGGCTGGGATATAATGGTTGTTGTGGGTTTTTCGGGCTCTTTGGCCGTGTTCTGAAGGCCAAAGAGCCTGAAAAACCCACAACAACCACATTGTTCTTCCTTACCTATTGTTGGAAAGCTAGCATGATGAAACCCAAGCAGGGGTGAGTGAGTGAGGGGAACAGTTTTCTTTTGCCCACGGCCAGTCTGGAGAGCAAGGGCCTGTGGAGGGTTTGGAGGCAGTCCCTCCTGGTTTCGAAGCTGATGCAGTGAAGGAGAAGGAATCACCGCTCATCCGTGATCACTTGCGCAGGGAGTCCCTGGAGATCCCCTCCCTAGTTTCCAGACAGCTTCCAAACAGGGAGGGCAAGCAGGGCAGAACATGTGTGCACCACATAAATCCTGAACAATCAGTACAGTGGCCCAGAGATGGCTGCTTTTCATCTGTGTTCACATCACATGCGTATGTATCTTTCTAGCTGAGCACTTAGAACAGAATTAAAACGTTTGTATAAGCAGCTGGTCCCCTATGTGAATGAATTACGCAGTGATGCTGGAAGAGCCATGTGGAGCCAAATCCACCACATTTCAGCTCTGGCCCCACTCCATGCTCCCTCCCTTCAGCATAACTACCCAAAACCAATTCAACCCTCAAGGCACAAAAAGTTCCCCACCCCTGTAACGGAGGGTTATCTGAGTAAAACGACTGTGCATTTTTGTACACCCTGGCATTAGGGTTTAAAGATGATCTAGAAATAACTTTTGCAAATGAAACAAAATCACAGGACTTTGCACCACCACTCTGTCGCACGGTCACCTTACTCCATGTACAGAGTGCTGATGTTGAGATGACTTTTAGACCATTTTATCAGACCTGATCAGTTTGTCATTAAAGAGCCCCTGTATCTCAGTAGTCCTCCTTCCTGTCTTTGCTTCAAGCAGGGATTACGAGACAAATTCTGAACCACCAACTAGCCAGAGGGTAGACAAAGAGCATCTCCTTCACGAGAAAGGAACCGTTTCCAGTTTCTTTTTCAGGTTTTCCATCAACAGCAGGCTCTGCAGTGCCAAACTCCTGCAGTCGCCATCTGGGTCTTTCTCTGCAACATCTGCAGAAAAGAGGAAGAGACAAGCAAGAGCAGGGGAAAAACTGGCTTGAGGAAATTCCTATGAAGCATGAGTCGGACTGTCAAGTGTGCTCCAGTAAAGGAACAATAAAAGGAAGTGATCCCCTCCCCACCTCTCCAAATATCTACCTTGTTTGATTTCATACCAAACTTTATTTAGCAACATTCCTTTTCCGCAGTGCCGTTCCACTGTGACCAAAACATCTCAGCGCTAGGAGAAGAGGACAATATGTTCTAGCAGCCACTGGTTTCTGTAATGGGAGGTATTTTAACACTCAATGACTGAGAAGCCTTTGGAAGTTACTTATGTTTTAGATGCTGTTTAACCTCAAAATATGGTTTCCTCAAATACCAACCCATTTCCCACAAGACAGGATGACTATTATAAAGCATGTGTCCTATAAAACCTCCAAAAGTTTTTAAAAATTGATAAAAATGTACTGTCATCTGATAAATCACACAGTTCTCCCTAAAGCCACTGATTGGACGATGCCAGCCCTCCAACACTCAGAGGTACCCTTTCAATGATAAAAGATGTCAGCAACAGTATCCTCAAAAGGAGCTTTTCATCTGGACATGACTGCTGTGCTAGCTAGGAGGTCAGATGCACAGTCTCCTTTTAGAGCCGTGACAGACAACAGCATTTGCCCATCCAGATACCATCGGACTACAAGTCCCATCATTCCTCAGCTGGCTAAGGCTGCTAGAGCTGCAATCCAAGAAGATCTGAAGGGCTGCACTTTGCTCACCTAAGTATGAAAGAATGTGTCACACAGCCCGATGATGGCACATGGCACATCAAGAGCCTGCCTGCTTTGTTCTGGCAAGGTTTCGATGCTGCGTCAGAAGGAAAAAGAAAGCCAACAGGTGAGGACTTCTCCCCTAGAAAACAACTGCCACAAGGGAGTAAGTTCTACCCTGCCAAATTTCTGCTTGTCAGGCAGCTGTTAATAGGAACAGTGCCAGGAAAAGGGGGGGAAAAAGACTGTCCACCCTATTCTTAACCAGCTTGCGGAGTGGAAACCAGGATGTCAAAGCCGGGGTCAGTCCAAAAGAGTGGCAGTTCTGGGGGAGGATATCCTGTGCGCACAAGAACAGAGCTGAGAGCCCAACAGTAGGTCAGCCTTCGGTACATGACTCACTCCAAGAGCCCCAGGCTATTTATAAAGTGACGGCAAACTTTCAGAATTGTCTGTCGTTCCCTGTGAGAGGAAAGCCTGTAATCCACGGTAATTAACATTAAGCAGTTCCCACAGGGTAACAGAAGTTCTTTTTTTAAAAAAACCAACCAACCAAGGGCAATATTCATTTAGCAGCATAAGGATGATCACCTCAGCATTTCTGTGATCTTGCAACACATACACACATTACAACTGATCATGCAACTGGTTGCACAACCTTTCTTGCAAACACGCCAAGACCTGACATACAAAAGGGATCCTGCCGGCGCTGGAGGAGAAGGCAGATTCCCCTTTTGCAGTCGTGTGATTGAACAAGGAAACTGGCCCAAGAATGAGAGAAAGACAAATAGCCTCCAAGAAGACATAAGTATGAGATTGATGGGAGTCGCTCCAGTCCATTTGCTCCTTATCATGTCTACAGCCATGAAACCAAAGAGAAACGTGAACCTAGTTTAGGGATGCTAGAAGATCAACATAGGAACGTATTATCCGTCTAGGACAAAATAAATCTAAACAGGATGTTGGAAGGCAATACCATCAAAGCCTTTAACTCTATGGATCATGGAAAGTTCTGGACCATTCAAAATAAAACAAGTGTCCCATAACATCTGATTGTCCTGATGCATAAGATACCCTTAAAACAGAATATGGAGAAACAGATGGTGTCAGACAGGGGTACATTTTATCTACCTACCTGTTCGGTCTGTATGCGGAACATATCATATATAGAAATGGATTTGATTCAGAGGAATGAAGAGCAAAAACAGGTGGAAGCAGTATTGATAATCCACAGTACTCATATTACTGGGAGAAAGCAGCAATGACCTGAAACATTTCCTGATAAAGGTGAAAAAAGAAAATGCAAAAGCAAGACTACAGTTGAATTTTTAAAAGATGATTCCAATCCATAGATGGTTCGTATAACTTTAATGTTAAAAATGAAGAAATAGAAATTGTTAAAGATTTGATATGGCTTAGCTCAATCATTAATCCAAATGGAGACAGCAGCCAGAAGAACCCACTTTGGGTCCTGTTAAGGAGAAGGGCAGGGTAAAAATATTTTAAATGAAGTAAAATAATTAAGTACACTGAGACCCAGAAGGCCAGCTATGAAGGAATTAGAAAAGATCCTCAAATGAAAGGATGCATCAAGAGAGATGCAGATGAAGATTATCTGTTTCTAGGTACAAATGTGAAAGTGAGACAGCGAAGAAAACTGATATGAAGTCAACTAATCTGAAAAGTGGAGTTGGAGGATGGTTTTATGGATACTCAGAAAGACAAATAAGCATGAGTTCTCTGTAAAAGCAAAAAGGCTAAAGTGAGACTACTGTAGATCATGAGAAAACAAAATTGGAGAAACCAGTGGCAGATGGGAAAAGACTTTGATATTCCAACATGCCATTGACCTGCCAGGCTTTGCATTCCCACAATGCGTTTTCATTTCTGTATTGATTTCTAAGCAGGGCTGCTTTTTTAAAAAAAATCTTTGATCAGCATTTTTAACATACGAACACACAGAAATTCACAACCAGACCTTCTCACCTGCCAGCCAGAAGCGGGTTTCCATAAGCTCCTCTGTCATGTCTTCAAGAAGATGCTCGGCAGGGACACTGAGGAGTGTGGAGGAGACCGAAGTGAGAAGGCCCTGGCGCACATACCTGCAGAGGAACGAAGCATCCTGGTGAAAGTCTACAGGACCCAGTTGACAGGGTCCAGCCTCTCATCTGCCTTCATTTCCACCCCGAGTTACACAATGCTCCGGTAGAAAAGATTCCTGTCCCACTCCATATTCTCTGGCTGAATGGTTCCCAACCTTGGTCCCCAGATGTTCTTGGGCTACTACTCCCAGAATCCCTGGCCAGCACAGCTGGGGGTCAAGGTTTCTGGGAGTTGTAGTCCAAGAACAGCTGGGGGCCCAAGGTTGGGAACCACAGCTCTCCCTGCGCCAGGGAGCCAAAGAGTCCCTACTGCAGGAAGGCCACTTTCCTACGTGATGAGGTCTACAGCACCTTTGTACGTGAACCACAAACTAAAAACACTGGAAATCTGAAACCAAGTGTCACGTGTATGAACCAACCCTGCGGTGCGTGACTTGTCCAAGAGGCTGATCGGACTGCTAGAGGACCTTGAGGAGACAGACACGCTTGCTTAGTCTGAAGGGCGGAAGGCTGGCTCTTCTGCACTCAACAGCCATTTCTCGTCCTCATCCAAGGACAGAATCCTAGAGCATCTTTAGACTCCCGAGCAACCCAGGTGTGGAGCCACAAGAAAAAAAAATAGCACTCAGCCCCTGGACTGCCCTTGGACACAGGTGCCTCTCTCTCTCTCAGGGCCACGTAGGTTTTCACAAAAACTCACGCATCTACGTGGAAACGCAGGGCCCAAACAAACTCGAGGAGCGCCTTTCCCATTGCAGTTGCTACCTGGAGAGGTAAGCGAAAAAAAATAGTTAGCTTGAAGGGCAACGCCTTGAATGGAGGAAGGCAAGATACTGAATGATCTGAGGAAGTGAGTTTGTCCATGAAAGCTCACATTAAAATACAAAATATAGTTAGTCCTTATGATACCATAATGCTTTTTGTCTTCTTTATTTTATTTTTTGCCTGATATGTTAAATGGAGAGGGTCAGAAGGAGAAGTCCTGAGACCTTTGGGGCTTTTTGAGAGAGACGCAGCAACGAAAATATAATAAACCAATGATAATTGTCCATTTCCTGTCCTTTAATAATACAGCAGCCTGTTCTCTAATGTAGGCTGACTCCCCTTTGCCTAATGCCTGGATGAGCTGCCTGTGGCCAATAGCCTGACTGAAAAGCCCTCTGCGAGTGATCACTTTAGATCTCTGGGAAGTTTCTCTCTTTCTCTCTGCAGTCAGTTACATGAGGAAGAAGAGAGAGAGAGCTAGTGGGAGACATACATTGGGGGG